CTTTCTTTCTTTCTTTCTTTCTTTCTTTCTTTCTTTCTTTCTTTCTTTCTTTCTTTCTCGCTATTTGGATTATTAAACAGCAGAATTCTAATTAGTCTTGTCAAATTTGAGAAACAACAGTAAAGTTGTGTTTGAGCTTCTGTATGTCAGCTAATTTTAGCATATTCCAGAAGCTCTTGTTTGGCTGAGTTGAATCGAGGCGAAGATTTGCTAGGTTTGTATAATTAAAACATTTTTTTTTCTCTGTGTGTGATCTTTGTTTTTATGCCGTCTGCTTGTTTTCCGTGATCACATTCAATATAACCAATTAACACTTCACTCAGTCAGTCCCTGAAGACCCGCTACAGCTGTAGTTTTCATCATTTCAACATCAGTGCTGCCACATTACATTTGACTGCAGTTAAAAGCAAAATTTGCCGTCTTGTATATTCAAGCTGTAACCTCAAATAAGCCTTCTGAACATATGTATGCAATCTTTGAGTTTAGGGCTATGATTTTGTTCATGTGCAATAAGCTTCATTTAAGATTGTTTTAGAAGTTTCATTGTAATTATGTATCGTTTCCAAACCTTAGATTCCGCATGCGTCAGGTCAACATAGTGGGCACTAGCCCTCCAAGCCAGCCCTCCAGAAAGATCCAGACTCTCCCCGCTCCCCCTGACATGGCACCCGCCAACGTGACCCTGCGCACGGCCAGTGAGACGAGCCTCTGGTTACGATGGATGGTACGAGTCTTTACATGCGAAAACCATCTCTTTTCAGTTAGTTTTGCCTTGTTTTGATTAACTGTTTCTGACCTTTATGCCACTCTGTCTAATGTCCAGCCTTTGCCTGAATGGGAATACAATGGGAATGCAGAGCAGGTGGGCTACAGGGTTCAGTATTCCCGTGCGGGCTCACAGGGCCGAGGCCTGACCCATGTCATCTCGGACCGCTTGGAGAGAGAATTCACCATCGAGGACCTGGAGGAGTGGACGGAGTATGAGGTCAGGGTCCAGGCTGTGAATGGGATTGGTTTGGGACCCTGGAGCCAGCCGGTCAGAGGCAGGACACGAGAGTCTGGTGAGAGAAGAGCACAGTAAAAAACATTTACTTTTTTTTCCCTGAACATACTGACGCATAACACACACTTGTTTGTAAATCTTTGCCACTAATTAAAGCACCTTGAATGCTTTTCACACATCTGTATCTGCAGCATCTGTGCAAATTATCTTAATAATTACTCATATTAGAAACAATAAACCTGCAGTTTGCACTTTGCCATATGTTAGATTTATGAGCAGATTGTTCCCTGCTCAATTTAAGGGGAAAACAGTGGTTTTTTCCTTCCTTTCACACTGCTCTGCAAAAGTTGGTTAGAGTGGGATGGAAGGAGTCTGAGGAAATTGAGAACACATGGACTCAATGAAATTTTTGTGCCCTTTTTCCACACACGCCGGCAAATTCTTGGAAATCAGGCATTATATCCAAGGATGAGGGCCAAGGAAGCAAAAGGGCCCTATTGTTGAGTCTTTTTCCTAATCTTCTGCAGACCTGAAGAATATGAAAATCCAACCACTGCTGAATGAAATAGTGTGTCTGTTTTGCAGAATGAACGCACATTATCAAATATCAATAATGCATTAAGCAGACAATTCATTCAACATTTGCATGCGTTCGCACTGTGTTCCAGTTCCATCCAGTGGACCCACCAACGTGTCTGCCTTTGCCACCACCTCCAGCAGCATTCTCGTGCGCTGGTTTGAAGTCCAAGAGCCTGACAGGAATGGTCTCATTCTTGGCTACAAGGTTAGTTTGTTCTCTTTGTGTTTCCATCTATTTTCTGTGTAGTCAAAGGCCTCCGGTTAACCAACACAAATATCCGCTGTATTGAGCTGCAGTTTGTTCTCTTCATTTTCTTTCTTAATGTTTCCCAAACTTCATGGCGTCTCTCTTTCCTGAAACAGGTGGTGTACAAAGAGAAAGACTCTGACAGTGTGGTCCAGTTCTGGATGGTGGAGGGAAACACCACCCACAGCGTGCAGCTCACTGGTTTGGGAAAATATGTGCTCTACGAGATCCAGGTTTTGGCTTTCACACGGATTGGGGATGGCCGACCCAGTTCTCCACCCATATTGGAGAGGACTCTGGATGATGGTGGGAGTTATAGGGTCTAGCAGCACTATGCTTTACAACTATTAAGTGAGTTTCGGAGGTATGTGATGTGTGTTTGCTGCTTTCCTGCAGTGCCAGGACCTCCGGTGGGTATCCTCTTCCCTGAAGTGCGTACCACCTCTGTCAGGCTTATTTGGCAGTCTCCTGCCCAGCCCAATGGCATCATACTTGGTTAGTATGGAGAATGATTTTTTTTTTGTTTGGAAATAAGTTTGAGTGGCTTCATTTATATGGAGTGCAGCATCGGCCCCACAGATGTAGTTCCTGATGACTCCCACTGTACTTCTTAGAATGTACTAAATAGACACAAAAGCTTAGCTTGTTAGTTTCCACCATTGCTGAAAAGGGAGTTGGAGGCCTTTGTAAGCTAATTGGGGATTTTCTTATGAGAGTTTGATTCATTATACATCGGTGGATAATTCAGTTTAAACTCCATGGTGTGTCAAACTCACAAAGTAACACGCTAGACTTTACGTTAATGAAATCAGATGGGACAAAGCTGGCTGAAGCACGACTTGACTCCTCTCACTGTTCAGAAAACCATTTCAGCTCCATTTACTTCTGTTTTTCCTTTGTCTCCTCCTGCGATTCTCCAGCTTACCAGATCACCTACCACCTGAACTCCACCAACAGTAATGCGGCCACAGTGGACGTCCTGAACCCCAGCGCTCGCCAGTACACGGTGACCAACCTCAAGCCGGAGTCCGTCTATGTGTTTCGCATCACGGCGCAGACGAGGAAGGGCTGGGGCGAGGCAGCCGAGGCACTGGTGGTTACCACCGAGAAGAGGGGTGAGCGGGGTTTACTGCACATACGTAAAACAAACATGTCAGCGCCATATGCCAGATGATGAAGAACAACAACAATTAGCCTGAGCCGTGATGATATTCTGAAATCTGGTAGCAGCATCACGTGGAGTTCGTTACCAGCTAGACACACAATAACAGTTGGGAAAATGGGCTCTGGCACATAAGTGTGTGACAACATATGAATAGCTGAACATAGCTGTCATTCTCTAATTAGACGTTCCTTTCAGTGAACAATGCGGTAAAACGTTTTGTGTCTGTGCCCCGTGGGTATTTTACTGGAACTATGAGCAGTTGTGAGAAGGAGCGCTTAATCTGCTTTTTGTGACACAATGTTTTTTTTGGGTTTTTTTCTGCACTTCCACTTCCAGCTCGACCCCAACCGACCAGCCGTCCCAGGGTCCCTCAGAAGGACGTGCAGGCCCGACAGGTGCTGCTTTCATGGGAACCCGGCAGCGACGGCCTGTCCCCCGTGCGCTACTACACTGTGCAATTGAGGGAGCTCCCGGAGAACAACTGGATTGTCCACTCTGCCTCTGTCAACCACGAGGCGTCCTCATACATAGTGTCAAGGTATAGTTACTTAAAGGGTTACCCGCTTCAGATTACAATCAGGGGTTTTGAATGGTTGTTTATTGGCTTCGATGGATTGGAAAAGTTAGCTTTGTCTTTAATAATCCCTTCAAATTACAATCACATTCAGATTAGCTCAACAGTAGCTTTCAAATAAACAACATCCTTCACGTGGATTTACTGTCCAGAAAGTTGAGAGTATAGATGGTTGAAATGGTGAAAGTGTATATATCTTTTCAAGCTTTAAGGTTTCAAGATCCAGTGTTGTAAGATGTCATCAAGATTGATGTGCTCTCCTGTGTTTCTCTCCCCAAGGCTGAAGCCCTTCACATCCTACCAGTTCAGAGTAAAAGCTACCAATGATATCGGAGATAGTGAGTACAGCGAGGAGAGTGAAGCGATCACAACCCTGCAAGATGGTGAGGATAACCTTATATTACTACTTTTAATCTAAACACTACCTTCCAAAAATCAGAATTTCTTTGCTATGTTGCATTTATGGGACGGAGGGTAATTCAAACTCCAAAGTATTATTGTCATTCCTATTAAAAGAGTTCAAAGTCTGCACAAATGAGTCCATTGTCAGGTGATTTGTGTGTGCACCATCTGCATTGCCACGAGACAAGAGGGAAGCCTGAAAACTTTGGCAAAACAACTCTGCCCATTGGTGCTTCATGCAGCTAAAGTAATGTTTGTCTGCCTAATGTTTTTTGGCTGCACCCTGAATGCCACAGCACAAGGACGCGTTTAGCACCTTGAATTGGACGCCTCTTTGGGGTCAGCCGAGCTAATCCGTCTCTCCCTTTTCTTTCCTCAGCGCCGGACGAAGCCCCGACCATTCTCTCCGTCACGCCACACACAACAACGTCGGTGCTGATCCGCTGGCAGGTGGGAGCACACAGAGCAACTCGCTTTCATGTTTCAGTGTTTGCAAGGAAGATTCACAGAGTTCCCTCTAATAATAGGCCAGGATTCGAACATATGAAGGCCTGTACTTACACACCGCCTGTCACATAAAACAAACACCTTCTCCCACACTCACACCTGAATTAACAGGTCATAAAGGGGAAAACAGGAGGTGCCCAGACACATTTTTACATTTATGGAGAGCACTAGCTGAGTTTATGAGGATAGAGCTGAACTTGCTTTTCTCTTCGGTTCGCCCCTCTGGGCCTGTTTTTCTCATTTTCAACCATCGGGGATTTCTCCACGTTACTGAGCCTTTAGACTGAGCCCTGAGCCTGAGAGATGTTTTTCAATTGCTGCATTGCTTTGGTGATGCCAAGTAAAAGGCAAATCACTGGATGATTACACTAAAGCAAACAGAAAATTCTTGTTGAGATTATATACTCATGCTTTCTTTTGTTTTACTCTAACCCCGACTGGGATTCTCTGAGATCTAATGAACTGGGCTTTAAGATTGTGTTTTGTCCCTTTTGCAGCCGCCCTCTGAAGAGAAAATCAATGGAATCTTGCTGGGTTTCCGGATTTGCTACCGTGAGCTGCTGTATGATCGTGTCCGCAGTTACGTCCACACAGTCAACAGTGTGTCAAACTGGGCCGAGCTCGCTGGTGAGGAACAAACACTGCCTACACAACAAACTGCACTTTCGGATATTAATTTATTTCCCACTGTTGTATTTCCCTTTACAATTTCCTTTCAATCGCACATTATAAAGAGTCATAATGAACCATGAAAAGTAACTAGTGACGTCAAAACAAATTCAGCATATAGCATATTATAATAAATATGCCGCCGCTGCACTTTTCCTCAGTAACACATAATTATAAGATTCTGTCACAGTTGATTATTCCTGTGTCAGCAGCGCCATTATTTCCATTACAGGGAAACTGTCACACGGGCCTATTCTGTTGCCAAGATCTCCGCACCGGTCTCGACACTTCACAGCAAAACATTTCATCTTGTGATCGGTGGTTATCAGCCACAGGCTATTATTAGGTTTACTCGGGAGCCATTCTGTTTCACCCACTCGGTGTAACACGGCCTGTAATTTCACTCTTGAGTCATTCCGAGGCTAATTCAGAGCCATGATCATTGTTATTTAGTTTTTTAGTGCCCTTTTCAGCAATGAAAGTATCGGACTTTGGAACCTAATACCGCCCCTTCTTCACCCCCCCCTCTCATTTTATCTTCTAAATCACTCGTTCTTCTCTCCGCTTGCCCTCCACAGCCCCTTACAGCGTACGGAATTTGAGTGATTCAACTCTCACCCAGTACGAGTTGGACAGTAAGTTTTTTTTAACTCTGTCTTATATACACAGGTACACACACACACGTCTATTCAAAGGTTCAAACCTTTGCAGAGGTTGTGATTTAAAAAGTTTTCTTGAATCTTATTAATCCTCCGGTGGCAGTGAGGAGTCATAAAGAGAACTGATGGGTGCCAAGCAGATTAGCGCAGCATTTGGCTGTTTGTGGCCACATTACTTTGATACAAACACTTCTACTAAGGCAACTGGAGAATTTGTTCTCATAAATCCTTGAATGCTGAGTAAACAAGCCAAGCTTGTCCAAAGCACTCATTGGTTTGCGCTTTTTCAGCTTCTTTGGATAACTACTACATAAGCAGGTGGCCACGTATTTTTCCTTCACCTCCACGCTGCCGCTATCAGCATCCCCATAATTGCAGCGTTCCCGTAGGGATTTGTAATTGAAACGGGAATCTCTTCCTCACAGCATAATTCACAGCTGAAAAATCATGTTTAATTCCTTGTAACAGTTTTGTCTGAGTGGGTGGAAAAGCCACCGAGGGATTCTTAATATTTAATCACTGACTCCAGCTAATTGTCTGGGCACATGGAAGAAGGTGAAGGGATGTGGGATGAGACACGGGGTCAGGTGACATCCCGCTTTCGCAGGGGAGCGATGATAAGCTTTACAAACAGGAACAGCGGCTTTTAAGAAGCGACACGCGGATATTTAATTCCAAACGTTTTACCTCCTTTTTTTTTAGAGCTGAGTAAACACAAGCGCTACGAGATACGCATGAGTGTGTACAACGCTGTGGGCGAGGGGCCGAACAGCCCACCGCAGGAGGTGTTTGTCGGGGAGGCAGGTACGTGCACCTTCTGCCACGCGTCCTCTTAAGTGCAAAATAATATCATTAATCTCAGTGCAAGTGGATCAGCCCCCTATTAGTTAAAGGGGTCTAATTTAGATGCAGGAATTCTGGGACTCAAGGTCTTTTTGAGTCATGTAATGCTGTTTGATCTCCTGGTGGATAAACTGCTGGCTTACACTCAATGCAAAGGGCCAGATTTAAACCAAACTAAATGTCTGGAGTGGTTGGTTTTCAGTCTGCTTGATTTTGAAGAGATGGTTTAATTAGCCCTGTCTAGCATTATGTTAATGTGTTTAAGGTCAGGAGAATTTTTAGAATTTGTATGTCACAAATGAAATCACGTTAAAAGAAAAAAACTTTTTCTGTTTTGTGATTGGCCGTGACAGTGCCCACAGCCCCGCCACAGAACGTCGTCATTCAGTCTGCAACAGCCACCCAGCTGGATGTGACGTGGGACCCTCCGCCTGTTGATGCACAGAATGGAGATATCCAGGGTTACAAGGTCAGATTTGTGGAATTATCCCATCAGTTCATAGAACACACCTTTTGATCACCATTGATACTATCACAAAATATCCTTTCGCAGTGACATAAACCTCTAAAAACCTTATTATTGCTCATAAAATACTGAATTATGTAATTTGATTACTATTAAATTGACAAAACTCTTTTAATGAAGCATATTTTTAAATTAATTGAAAATGAACAAAAGGCTTTTCTCACTTGGGGGACTTTAATATAAGTTTTATAATGGTTGATGGATTTTGTGGTATGGCCTATTATTCATTTAGACATTATTCTATGCAGATTTACTTTTGGGAGTTCCAGCGTAAGAATGAGACGGAGCGGCTGCGAACTCTCTTCATGCCAGAGGGAGGGGTGAAGCTGAAGAACCTGACCGGTTACACCACCTACATGATCAGTGTGGCCCCCTTCAACGCCGCCGGGGACGGACCACGCAGCCCGCCGACCAGGGGCCGCACGCAGCAAGCAGGTAGAGCCCCCAACTGGACGCACACAGCCCAGATGAATCCAATCAGCCAAAACAAATACGTCCGTTTGTCGTGAATGAAGAAAACACTTGCTGGGAAGGAGACGAGTTGAACACAAATGTAACAGGATGAAGTGATTAAAACAAGGAAATTCACAGTTCCATTCATTTGTCATATCTCTAGTGCTGGTGGCTGTGCTGATGTTAGAGTGGAAAACCCAAAGCTCTCTCTCTCAAAGCAAATGGCTCAACCACGAGAATAAAAAAAAAATTGACTTGACTGTGATGCTAATCGCTGTTGTCAGCATGCCAAACTATGTTAGCAGAACCACACAGAGAGCATACGTTTCGAGTCAGCTGACCCGTTCTGACTGCACTCTCTGAGTTCAGTGGATTTTCTGAATGGCCAAATGGTACAAAAATGTTTTAGCTGGCTTTCAATTTGTGGACAAGTTTTTGTTTGCAACACCTTCCCCCCCCCCGTCTCTCTCTTTCTTTCTTATTGCTCTTACTCGAGAGACTCTCTGTTACTTATCCAGTCTGCAAACATGTCAAAACAATATTTATCTCCTAAAAAAATAAGAAAAACGCTGTGTAAAAGAAGCTACTTTCATGCGCGCTTCACCGCTATGTGTGTTCGCAGTGTCACAGTGAGTCACAATGGCCGCTGTTATGTGAGGAGGAAGCAGATGACAAGCTGTAAGGAGGAAGGAGGAGCGTTAGGGAGATAGTTATCCCATCTTCTTAGAAGACAAAGAGGCTTTGTGTTCTGCGGGCGTCTCGGCTCCCGCTCAGCGTGTTTAAAGAAAACAGGGCAAGCTGTGATTCCACACAGCCTCGGCTTGCTGTAATGAGGTCCTGAGTGTGGTCATTGTGACAGTGAATGGCTCTGACCGGGGTCAGAAAAGGATTTGTTGGCGAAGTGGAGCTTTTTGACCTGTTTGTATTTTGGCTAAACTGGGAAGTTGACCCAATCAGCACTTTTCAAGTGTATAGAAACTCCACAGCTCTCGGCCACTAACTTTTAGCTGCTGGACTGCACCTTTTTGCAGTTTCATGCTCGTGGAGCTACAAAAAGAAAAGCAGAAGCAGGAGCAGGAGCTGTTCCAACCTGCAGATGTAGAGCTCACTAAAAAAGAGAGTATAATCATTGAACTTTGGCAAACGCACAAAGCTCTTGGCTTTGAAGAGCCCCCAGGTGGTGCAGATTTGAATATGTCCACACCCACTTTGTGGCTGGCCTCAGTTCACCCATAATATCCTCGTCAAGGAAAATTTAAAGCCAGTTAGACACTTTGCATTAAGAGTTTTCTGAGGTTGTGTCCTTCTGCATACTTCCTTTGTAAATAATGCAGCTCCAGTACAACCTGTTCCCAAATATTACGTCTGCAGATAGGACTGTCTGACCCTTCTCACGCGATTATCTGCCTCAGCTGTCCTGTGCTCTGACCCCTGTATGACAGACACAGACACATCACATGATTTGAAATCTTATGTTTCGAACGTTTGTCCCTGAAAAATCTCCCAAACCCCTCACACACACACGCAGACATACACACACATCTGTAGTTATATGTCGATAACGACCAGTGTGTCTTTTTAACTTTTGACGTTCCAGCTCCGAGTGCCCCGAGTTTCATTCACTTCAGTGAGCTGACCACCACCTCGGTCAACGTGTCCTGGGGAGATCCCACCTTCCCTAACGGCATCATCGAGGGCTATCGTCTGGTCTACGAACCGCTGACTCCAGTAGAGGGTAATAACTCATTCCTACTGACCTGAACTCTGTCCATATGAACTGGCTGCTGGCTAGCTTGACAGCTGTGTGCGCACCACAGGATAAACTGAGAAAGTACAATGTGAAAATACTAGTGCTAAGATCAGTTTCTTTGACTTTGGTAAAATCTTGTAGCGCGCAGTGGAGCTGTAAGCAAGCCATCACATAAAATTCATGTCTCATTGGAAATCTTTTACACGTTTACAGCTGTCATCTGAAATAATACATGACTACAGTGACAAAGCGCGAGCATATAATTTCCACTACTAATTCCATCCCTCTTGTGTGTATGTGTGTTGAGTGTGTCTGTGTAAGACGCCTGTGTAAGACCTGCTCTAAATGTGGTGTGTTTGTCTAGAGTCCTCAGTGGCCTGTGCCGACTGTCTTCACTCCCCCTCCCCCCCAGGCGTCAGTAAAACAGTGACCGTGGACGTGAAGGGGAGCGGCCCCCTCTGGTTGAAGCTTCGAGATCTAGCCGATGGCGTCACGTACAATTTCCGCATTAGGGCCAAGACCTTCATATATGGGCCCGAGGTGGAGGCTAATATCACAACCGGGCCCGGGGAAGGTAATTTTGTAATGAGTTTTCTAAAAAAAAAACTTCCACATGAGTTCTTTTGATTACTTCTTAAGGCTAAAACTTTTTTTTGTTGTGCACCAGGAGCTCCAGGGCCCCCCGGAGAGCCTTTTATCAGCCGTTACAGTTCAGCACTGACCCTACACTGGACCAGTGGGGACCCTGGACGTGCTCCTATATCGCGCTACGTCATCGAAGCCAGACCGTCAGGTGGGAGTCTTCCAAAGACGCCGCATTAGTGAAGCTTATTTTAGCTGCTGTGACAGTGTGGTGAAAGGAAAGTAGTGTAAAAATGTCAACATCTGCCGCCCCGGAGTGCGCATCCCTGGCATTTTAATGGGTTATTGATTTGTCACTGCTGGTGAGACAATTGGCATCCTGTTTCAGTCGTGATTGACAAGCCCTGGCAGCACGAGCAGGGTGACGGATGTTGATGGCTCACAGCGAGGGCTGTTTCATGAATTCCAAGTGAAAACTAAAATTTTCCAAGAGATTGGCGAGGACTTCTGGATGCCGACTCACGCGGATTTAGCCTTTCCTCTAACAAACACCTCCTGTTCATAAGCCAAAGGCTGTAACTCTCTGCAGCATCATCAGTGGTTGATTTGTTACATTCTCAGTGAAATTACATCAGCTTTTTTTTTTTTTTTTTAACTATTATCAAAGTTCAGCAGCATGACTGATGAACCCTGGTGCTCGTTTGTGTTTGCGGATCCCATTAAAAGCGTCAGACATTGATATTTACAAGAAGTAATGTGTAATAAACGATCTCTGGCAAGATTTCCATTGCAAGCTGCAAAGCATTTAACTCTACTTGATTTGAAATATGACTGCCTCGCTATTTATGTTGGTGATTTGGTGGCTGTAAATTTTTACGAGAGCGGTGAAATTGATGGATTGTGTAATATTTGACAGAATTATCAATTACCCTGAGAGCGGTGAGTGGGACAGGTGCCTTATTTCAAAGAAACAAACATGTTGTTGGCAATGACACACTGATTCAGCTGAAACAATTCTGTTCTTAAATAATTCCCAAAGTGTCCCCTTGCCTGGATTATTAATTTAAATTTCATTACAGATGAGGGTCTTTGGGATATCTTAATCAAGGATATCCCTAAGGATGTGACATCACACACGTTCAACATGGATATACTTAAACAAGGCGTCAGTTATGACTTCCGGGTAATTGCAGTGAACGACTACGGCTACGGCTCTCCGAGTCTACCTTCTCCTTCTATATCTGGTGAGCTTTCATGTTTTCGCTAATGGAATTGAATGAACGGAGCTACATTAACTTTCAGAGTTAATTAAAATCCCTCAGGTCTCTTAGACTTCACAGAAGTGCGGCGCCCCGTTTTTCTAACAAGCATGCATTTCAATTTCCTGTGTTTTACCCAGCCCAAAAAGTGGCCCCTTTCTACGAAGAGTGGTGGTTCCTGGTGGTGGTCGCACTGGTGGGGCTCATCTTCATCCTGCTCCTGGTTTTCATCCTTATTATCAGAGGGCAGAGCAAGAAGTACGCCAAAAAGTCCGAATCAGGTGAGCGCGTGAAATTTTCTGATTATCTGTGACAGAAACCTCGCATTTTTGGATTTCAACCCTGGCATGTGAGGCAGAGAATGTGATGACTTGCCTTTTTTCTCCTTTAGCCGTAATATTTATTCAAAGGATCCCCTGCTTTGCACTTTTGAATACTTTTTTTGGGGAAGGGTGTGTTCTGACTTTGAACCAGTCTGACCATCTGCCAGAGGCCAAAGGAGGAAAAGGGGAGCTGCAACAGGGGCATGCTTGTCCATTCAGTGCTACTCTGACATCAGCAGGCATTTTCCCTGAGCTCAGCATTTTCCTGGCTGTTTAGCTGCCAGGCAGAGGGGGGGTATGGGGGGTATGGGGGGTGTGGGGGGTTGCCTGTGGGTCACTGCCCATCTATCTGACTGACAGAGGAAAAACAAGGGGTTTCTTCTCACTCCAACACAAAGACACCCCTCATATCCCACATTAAGAACCTGGTAAAGATTACTGCATTTACCAAGTTCATTTACCTTTTACTTGTGCTTGCTTGAGCTCCAGTTAACCTTAAGTACCCACTAAGCAGTCAAAGGAGTTCTGGCCTGACTATGGCATTCTAAAAGTGTATTTAATCTGTGATATTGCAAATATTAATTGTCCCCAAACATCAATCTGCTGCATGGAAAAGCTGTCACTGCCAGTTTATAGTATCAGCTTCTAATCGATCAAATCCGACATTTAGATTGACAGAAAATATGGTCATCAGGTTACCATTCATGTTATATTCAAAGTGTTTTCATGGAATGGCACATTCATATATCACACAGTAGTTTGTTGTTTTTTTTTACACATGTGTCAGGTGAACTTTTTTTAATCGTTGCCATCACTTATCTATGGTTTATTTGACACTTTTAAAATCCTTATTTCTTGTCTTGGCTTGATTTGATGCTCACCTCAACATGACTCATAGTTAAGAGAATACCTCAGCATTTTGGGAGGCAGTTTTATGCGATTTCTGGCAGAGTTAAATGTAAAAATCAATACTGCTCTTGTAGCTGTCTGCTCTATGGTAGGTTTCAGCCAGAAAGTGTTTAGATCAGCTTACAAAGAGTGGAAATGGAGAAAAACGGAAAGTATTGCTTTTCTCTATAAAGGAAAGGAAATCCGTATTTTGTGCAGCTGTTCCCTTCGTTAGCTAAGCTATTCAACTGGAGCATTCAGGTCGATAAATTCACTGTATTGGTCTTTTCATCTCATTTTTGGCGAGAAAGTAAATCAGCACATTCCCCCCCAAAAGTATGAATTCCTTCTTTTAGGCCTTAAAAAGGGTAATTTGATGATCACTCAGGCTTCATTGACTAAATGGGAAAAAGACATCATTCTGAAAATAGGGCTTATATACAGATTTGAAAGAAAGATTCTGGATAAATCCACAGCTACATTTGCAGTTTGCTGTTTATGTTTCTGCTTCATCCTAAATTTACACTCTCACTGTTGATTCAAACGAGCGGATACTGCCTGTTCGTCTGGCCTGTGGTCACTCAGTGTCTCTGTATGTGTGTCCAGGCAACAACTCCAACTGTAACGCTCTGACCCACGGAGACATGGTAAGCCTGGATGAAGGCCGTTTTCCTGCTCTGGAGCTCAACAACCGGCGGCTGTCGGTGAAAAACTCTTTCTGTCGGAAGAACGGCGTGTACACCAGGTGGGGTTCTCCCTGCGCATGCAAATATCCAAAGCAGAAGGTCGAAATGAAGTAGTTTGTATGAGATAATCAGGTTATTTACGTCAGCATTACCTCACGCCCAAGGTAAATCTGAGCTCAATGGGAATAACTCTCATCCTGCCTTTTTGAATGAAGTGTGTAAACAGACTAATTGCTGCACTTCCTTCTATGAGTCAACCACCAGTTTTACAGGCCCTGGGACCACGGTTTTGTTAAAATCAAACGCTCTGACTAACACCTGTGCTACAAACGCCACAGGGACTCAGTCACAAGTCGGATCCGAGCGCATTCTCTGATTTCAGACATATTAACACTGAGAGTAAATGCTTGAACACAGCTGCCGTCGTGTGCCGTTGAAAGGCCTGTCAGCATTGACTTTATTTCATCAGATATTTGGGAGGAGGAGGAGCTCAAGGAGACGGGTGCCGTCTCACATTGGCTCACAAGGACATTTCCTCCTGTGAGTCCACCTGTCGAAAGTACAGTTTTGTATGAGGGATATGAGAAATGTGGTTAGGTTTGTGTCTGTGAATGTGTGTGTGTGTGTGTGTATGTATGTGTGTGACCTCAAGGCCAGATCAAAGCCTCCGCAGGCCTTTGAGAAGCTTCCAAGCAGCTTCTTAATACCTATGTCTCTGATTCGAAAGGGGAGGCTGGGATTGAAAGAATGCACAGATGTACTCAGAAAAACGTCTCTCTTTGAACTCAGCCCACAGAGGAGAAACCCCGAATTCCAACACCTGAGCCTCCGATTATAGATTAATGCCACATCTTGATCTCTGGTCTCAGAGTAGCAGAGACAGGATGAAAGCCCTGCCGCTCCGTACTCCGAGAAGGAATCACACATTCTTAATCCCGCTGCGATCGGTCTAATTCCGAGCAGTGTCAGACAGCAAATGGCATTTGCGGCTGAGTCTCGGGATGCTTTTCACTCAGTCCAGATTTGCTCAGTGTAATTCAGGGGTCAGTATACACAGTTAAAAAAACACACACAAATCAGAGGGGGTTGTTTGAGAACTTACTGCTGCATCAATAAGTAGACATTTAGGCTAAATAATTAATGTAGTTCATGGGTAATAAACCATTACAAATTTGTTACTTTCCCATGATGAAATAAATAAATGAATTAACTGAATAAATTTACACTGAACATGAATTTAATTTAATCAATCGGTTTATTCCAATCAAAATGATTTTGAGATGCTTTCCCTATTCCAACATGCAACATGGTATGAAATTCATTCAGATGTATTTGCTAGATCTTTAGAAATATCTTGTTGCTGGTGAAGATTCACAACTGTTGTGTAGGGGTTGATCTGCCATTCAAGAGATTGGGCCTGAGCTGAGAATGATAGTTAGCCCCAAATTGACCATTATGCCTGTTTGCAAATTTGCAACCAAAATATCTTTTTATTTTTTGTGAAAAAGTAAAATGAATAATCTCAACATTATTTACCATCTACTTAAAGGCAAAGACACTATTTTTTTTGTATACATCTATATAAATTCAGGCTTTAAGTATAGTAGTAAGTATTTTAAGAAATGTTAATGTCTTTCATCATTTAAGATATTACATTAAAGATGAGTCGTCTGTGTCTCTTCCTGACATGCAGATGATACTGACGCTTTTCTCTGTCTGTGCAATGTTGTCTTTTAAAAGTTGGAAACCGACGTTGACATTTGATTTTTAAGGAGGTCTCTGGGTGTCATTGTATATTAACTTTGCGTTACCTCTTGAGAGAGAAAGTGCGTGACCACTTCAGACTTGTTAATGACTTCCTTTTAGTGAACGTAGCATCAGGAGAGCTTAGAGTGACGGCCGGGGCAGGTTTGATTTTCATACTCCTGCTCACTGAAGTTTGATGCGAGAGGATTAAGTGGATCCTCAGCTCGAGTGGGAGGTCTGATAAATAATTTACGCTTCTCTCAACAGTGTACAAGACTTGAGGAGAAGGGACTAAAGCGGGCAGCATCCTCAGTGTTTTTATACAGGCAGTTTATCACAAAGCCCCAGCAGGCTCACAACAACATTTCTTCACGTGTTTTCAGTTCTGTGTTGGGTTCACCAAGAAGGCAACTGGAGAATAGAAGTTGCAGGATGTGTCTTCAGAGTGTCCCTTTGGGAGCAAGTTGGGATGTGCTTGAATTTAATCAAATGAAGAGGCTTGTTAGTAAAAGAATTATTTGAGGTTGCAGAAAAATGGAAATAGCATGTAATGGTATTTATAATAGGAATATCTCCTTAACTTTTGTTAAGGGTAATGGTATAATAGTATCTTTTATTTTTATTTATTTATTTATTTTCTTTCTTTTCCATCCCCTACCTGAAAACCCGAACACCACACAAGGGTTAAAATAAAATAAAATAAACGCTTTCTAACTAACCAATAAAACGATGCGTTCTAACTGACCAGTAGAACGCGTCGTTCTATCGGATCCAATAGAACGATGCTTTCTATTGGATCACCGGCGCGAAAGCGCGACCGGTAGCCAATTCGTTTTTTTTGTTTTAATCTGTTATAGCATGCTTCCTTGCCGTGCCAAGTGTAGATGGCAGAAAAATAGTGAATAGAAAATGTAATGAACGTACAATTACAGTCGAAGATGCAAGAAGACAAATGGATCATACAGCTACTAGCAAGATTGAATGCAGCCACAATGATTTCAGGTAGGACAATGGTTTCCTTTATCATATGCCCGCCGTGGCAGCACTAGTTAGCAATAAAGTCTCTAGAAATATGATTTTGACTGTGTCCGGTAGTGTGTGTCGTTATATCTTAGGTTAGATTTCGTAGCTTCATAGCTTTCATAACTTGTCTGACAAGCTAAGGCACGTTGTTAATTTCCAAGTTGTTAATTTCATTGAACATATTTACAGTGTTTCTGATTGCGCTTAGTTTCAACAATTTAAGTCTCTTTGCATTTTTTTATTTACATGGTTTGAGATCGTGTGCATATAGCTGCACCTAGTATTTCTGCTAGTTTTCGTTGAACTCTGGCTACTCCGTTGTGACACCAGTGGCTTAATGTGCCACGGCCAGGCTAGCTAGAATTGTCCGGAAAGACATAAGGCGACAAACCGCATCAATGTATTCACAATCCACAATAGCATGGTTTGTAAAAAAAAAAATTTGGGGGGGGGGGGCAATTCTTTGCCCCGGGGCCCAGAGACTACCCTTAATCCGTCCCTGCCTGTAGCCCCCTACCGGCTTCCTTGTTTTAGTCATGTGACAAAAACAAGGAAGTGGGCGCGCTACCGCAAGACTGCGGTAAAAGACGAATATGCGATAAAAGGCGAATACCGGGAAAACCGGGGAATATCGGGGAAAACCGCTACCGGGGGAGGGGGGCCGGGCCTCCCCAGAGGGGAGTCCCGGACCCCCGACCCCGGCTCGATATCCTTGTACCAGTAGCCCCGCTCCGAACCCCGGTATCGCGGGAGCCCGGTAGCGCGGTAGCCCGGTAACCCCCCTCCGGGTCCTTTTT